AAGTCCTACACGGAAAATGTGGTTATTGTCAGCGAAGTTAATAGGGCCTGTGTGTGTATGTGTGGGGTGGGGGGTGCGCAGAGAGTGGAATGAAAGCTGACATACAGCCCTGTTTTTGTCATGGTGATTTGATAACTGCCATAGGAATGGTGATTTGATTTTCCCCTGGGTTGGACACCACCTAGGAAGTCAGCCCTAAGTCTGGGGAAACAAACTGATCAGCAGCCATGAGGGAGATAAATAAATAGATAGATAGATAGATAGATAATTGCACAGACATGAAATCCAAAGGGTAAGAGTCTAGCAGAAAGGACCCTCACGGGGCCTCCCTGGGGGCGCAGGGGTTAAAGAAAGCGCAGTCAAGCTCTCGCCTGCCACTGCTGCAACAGATGGATCCCCCACCGGCCAGAAGCAGCGCATAAAGGGCGCAGCAGACCTCTCCAGTCCCACCCGCTGCTCCCCTCACCAGGGTGTTTCAGCAGATCCGCCTGTTCTGACCTCTGCTCTCACTGGTGCCTCCCCCCCCCCACCTCTGGTCTACATCCCAGTGCTTGCCCCCCGCCCCCAACACACACACACCACAGTGCAGGCAGGGGCACACACTAAACCCAGTTGCCAAAGAGAAAAGTCGATCAGACGGAAGAAGATGCTCTCACCCAGTGGGAGCAGGTGTTGACGGTTGAAATGGGCCGGGAGATTGGATTCCACATGGGAACCGAGATGATTTATTTTGGGGGGCGATGTGCTGGGCCCTGGAATATTTTGGTTAAGTGCAAAGTGGAGGGTTGCGATGAGAACACGCTGAGTCCTGCGTGTGAGGTTAACAACGGTGAGGAGGTGTAGTGGCAGGAAGGACCACCGTGCAGGTTTTCTAGGATCCCATGCAGACCGGGTAAAGGAGGAGTCAGAGTCCTCAGTGGCTTTTTGCAGGTCTTTTATTGGGATTTACCCGGTACACAGCAGACAGGGGTGCTGGGGGGCGGGGAGGCTGGCAGGCCTCCCAGCCCCCAGCAAATCCTCACTCTACCTGGGCTCTCCGGCCTTCTCTGCTTCTCTCTCGGCCTTTCCATCAGCACTGGCGAGCTCCGAATCGCGGTCCTCTCTTCCCTGACAATTCTTGCTGCCTTGGGGGGTCGTTGGGTGGTCTTCTCGGGGGTCGTTGGCTGGTCCTCTCGGGCATCTCCTTCACGCCAGGTCTCGTCCTGTAGCTCCTGGACCTTGTCCATCTCCTGTGTCGCCATGATGCCTCCAGTGTCATCACAGGCAAACACAGTCTGTTACAACTCCTTAGTCCCTCCAGGTCTTCGGATGGCTCCATACCCAATTGCATGGATCATCTTGCTGACTTACACCAATTGTAGGGTCAGGAATGGACATAGTGCAGGTTTTCTAATCTAGCAGACCAGGTAAAGGAGGAGTCAGAATCCTCAGTGGTTTTTTTTGCAGGTCTTTTATTGGGATTACCAGGTACATGGCAGGCAGGGGTGCTGGAGGGCCGGGAGGCTGGCAGGCCTCCCAGCCCCCAGCAAGTCTTCACTCTATCTGGGCTCTCTGGCGTTCTCTGCTTCTCTCTTGGCTTCTGCTACTTCTTTTTCAGTTTCTCTTTCAGCTTCTGCTGCTGCTGGCGTCCCCGTGACGCCGCCCTTAAAAGTCCAGTCTCTCAGCCCAGGTGTACCCACTCCAGGTGCCCCCCATCAGGCATGCATTCAGGACCACAGGGTTCCCTCATCTATCCTGATGGCGGGAAGGCAGAAAAGCCTGATACCTTTTACCTTACCCTACAGGAGGGTTCTGAGAGTGACAGGGGGAGCACCTGAGCACCTGAGACAGTCTCCCGCGCGTGTGCAGTCACTGGAGCGTCAGTTACTTTTCGAGGTGTCTCCCGAAACACAGACAAGACACTGCGATGCTTGGTGGAGCGAAGCCCGGAGCAGGTCCAGGGCGCGCACCGTGGTGGGGCTCAGGGCCTGGGCTGGGGTCTGAGGGTGAGGGGGGAGAGGCAGCCGCTCCGGCTCGCGCGCCAGGGGCTCTGGGGCCACCACCTGGGCCCTGGCCGCGGGGGCGCGGGGGCGGGGAGGGCGCACACCTGCGGAGCCGGGCCGGAGCACAGAAGGCGGCGTCTCGGCGGTTCCCGCGGGCCTGGGCCCCGCAGCGAGGGCGGACGCGACCCCCGGGAGCGCCGGAGAGAGCCCAGAGCGAGTCAAGTCCCCCTGCTCCGCGTTTTCACAACCATGATGGGTGTAGAGAGGCAAGACCCTGCCAGCCCCCCGCTCCTCAGCCCGGGATCCCCGGCCCCTCGGCCCCCCGCCCGCCCGCCGGCGCCCGCCCAGAGAGCCTGGGGAGTCGGGGTTCGCGGGGGCCGGGAGCCTCCCCCCCCCGGCCCGGGCCTCCCGCCCGCCCTGCCCCGGGCGCCCAGCTGCGGTGTCCCGGAGGACGCGAGAGGCCCTCGCCAGCCCCGGAGCCCCGGGACCTCCGCCCGCGAGCCCGCAGCCCTGCGGAGCCGCCCCTGCAGCCGCCGCCTCCCGCCCGGAGGCGGGACCCCGCGCGGCTCCTCGGCGGCCCCCGACCCCGCGCCGGGGGACGGCGCGCACCGCGGGGGCCGCCGAGGACTTGGCCCCGCGCAGGGCGGGACTGGGGTGAGCGTCCCTCGATGCTCTGCCCGGGGGGCGGGTGGACGACCCTGGAGGCGCCGCGGACCCCAGAAGGCGGACGCGGCCCGGGAGCTGCGGGAGGAGACCTGGCGGGGCGGGGGGAGCTGCCGGCGGGACCCCCAGGGCCCCGAGCCCGACGCCCCATCCGGGGCCCCCACGGACGGCGGGGACTCGGCCACGCCAGAGGCTGCGGGCTGGGGCGGGTGATGCCTTCTCCGTGGTGCCCGGGGGTGTGGGAACGAGGGGATCCTCTGCGCCCCCGGAGAGGAGAGTCGAGGCCTGGGGGCGCGGTTCTCCGCAGCAGGCGGGAGAATCTCAAAAAGCCGCTCAGACCAGCCAAAAGCGGGCGCCCAGGGCTGGCGCCCCGACCTTATGGGACGCAGCCCCGGACCCTCACAGCACCTGTGGGCGAGCCCCGTTGGCTTCAGAGCGAGGGTGAGGGAGAAGGAACCTCTGGGGGCAGGTGGGGACGAGGCCTGTGGGGGGCCCCACGGCGGAGAGGGGCCCGGAGCGCCCCCGCGGGGAGCGCGGTCTCCATGACCCGGCATAGGGCTGGCCTGAGCGCAGGGCGCCTGGCAGCGGCGGCATTGAGACCTGGTGCCAGGGGACCGCACTGAGTGCCCCTACGGCTGGGCTGTTTCCCCCCGGGAGAGCTGAGTGTCTCAGACCTCAGAGTGTGCACAGCTGGGATGGGGGGTGGCTGGTGCTGAGACCGCAGCCTGGAGAAGGCCCGCAAGCTGGACGCCCCTGTTGGGAAGATGGAGTCTGCCCTGACTGAGCAGTGGTTGCCCCTGGAGGGAGCAGGGCTGTGGGGGCCAGTCGAGAGCGATCCTGGGGAGTGGGGTTGCAAAGGAGCTGCCTGTGGGTTGCTCCCTGGCCAGCCGGGGATCGAACTTGTGCTGCAGTGGCTGCAGTAAGCTTCATAGGTTGTGTCTTAACCCCTTGAGCCACCTGGTAGGCCTGAGAAAGTGACGTTTAAGGCCTAAAGGAAGTAAGAAAAGTTACTATAATAAGGAAATGAGGGACTAATACTAATATCATTTTTGTCATTAGCATTATTATTACAGTAAATGTTAATATACTATTTTTTAAATGTTAATATACTATTAATATCATTGCTTTCTCTGGCTTTTAAATAGATGGGGCAGCAGTGTCTAGTACCCAGTTTTTATTATAGGGCAAATCACAACGAGAACTCCTGGGAAACTGAAGAGTGACCTGAGACACTATTGCTAGTTTATAAGGGCAGAAGCAAAGCTAAGATGTGAATGGATTGTGCATGGAGTCAGTGCAAACAAAAAAGCAGCACTGAGAGAAAAGGCCAGTCCCAGACTGATCTCTGTCCATGCTGCAAGTCTGGACAATCACATAACATAATCTTCAGACCCAAAGGGCGTCAACAAAAAGACATCTCTGAAACCACAGAAAAATGGCAACTGCCGCTTCAGTCAGGGAACATGTAGTGTGTAACATAGCAGCCACAAGACAGGACATTCTGTGCTCAAGCTGTGTTTCCACCAGAACATTTGTTTTGTTGTTAGGGGTAGGAATGAGCCAGAACCATCTGGGAATAATTAAGGAGACATGGAAATACTTGCTGGTTATCCAGTCTAGCACAAGGCTGAGAATAGGTGGGTGTCTAATAAATTCTTACTGGATTACACTGAATAGGGGGAATCAACACTTTTTCTTTTTTTTTTTTAAAGATTTATTTATTTATACAAGCACTGGGTACAGTCAGAAGTGCGGGAGGGTGAGAGAATCCACCAGAGTGAGAGCGGGGAGCAGAACAGGCAGACTGACGAAGTACACTGCTGATGGGAGCAGTGGGCATAGCATTAGAGGTCTGCACACCATGTGGGACCCTCACAGCTGGGGATCGAACTGGTGCTGCAGAGGCTGTGGGCAGCTTCAGAGCCTAGCACTCAACTGTTGTGCCACCGGGGAGGCCCAAGGGATCAACTCTTGATTGTGATTCATACACAATTTTTTTTTGACTTATTAACTTGGACTAATAATCATTCTTTGTAAGTCAGGGGAAATTATAAAAAAGAATAAAATGAAAAACAGGAAAAGAATCCAAATGCTTGAAGACTCATGATTGTCAATTTGTTTTAGTTGCTACAGTATTTTTTAAGTTACAATGTCAAGTGTTTCATTCCCTAATAGTCACAGGCTTCAGGTGGACTGATGGGCGAGGACAAAAAACAGCATGTGGGTTTAAGAAAAATAAAACAAAGCAAAACACCACATTCTTCAACTGAAGTAATAGCAAAGTTGAAAAAACATCTTTGGTACATTTTTAGGTGTATTTATTACCCAAAGGTAATTTCTAATTTCACTTTAATGGGAGAAAAAAGTGAAATGGAGGTATGGAAAGATTCTGATTGTGCTGTACATCTCTGAATGTGCCACACAGCTCAGAACTCAGTCTCCTAATTGTCTGGGAATTCTCAACTGAAGGGGAGAGGGCAGGGGCAAGAGAAGGGAAATGTGGCTACTGACAGATTTCACTGACTCGGTAATCACATGAGAAGCAAGATATAAATGACCATGCATCTTATTGTCTTTTTTTTTTTAAGATTTATTTATTTATACAAGCACTGGGTACAGTCAGAAGCACGGGAGGGTGAGAGAATTCACCAGAGTCAGAGCGGGAAACAAAACAGTCAGATGGACCGAAATACACTGCTGAGGGGAGCAGCGGGCTGCAGGAGAGGTCTGCGTGCCATGTGGGACCCTTGCCGTGGTTGGGGATCTAACGGGCACTGCAGAGGCTGCAGGCAGCTTAGCAGCCCAGAGCTCCACCGCTGCGCCACCAGAGGAAGCCCTCTTATTGTCTTCTTTTAGAAACACCCTTGTGTCTTTTCACAGTGGGCGAAGCACTGCAGAATGTCTGCTCTCTGGGTGAGTTGCTGGGCCCAGGTCCCTGTACTGTCTGGAGAGTCCTTCAGGCCGGTCCGCAGAAGAAACTCAACACAGGCCCTGTGCTGCCCTGTGCAGGCCAGATGCAGGGCTGGAAACAGAAGCCACAGGAACTAAGCGCATGACCTCCCAGAACAATAATGACCTGGTGAGTGGGTTGCTGCTTATAAAAAGACTGATTTTTTCAATTCTACAGATATCATATGTCCACAATTTATCCTATGACTCCGCCTATATGGGATCAAAACATTTTTCCTTTCTATGGAACTGGGGAGGAAATGTTTTAAAGATAACAAAACCGGTTGGAGAGGATTTAAGAGATTTGTCTAAAGCAACAAAATGAGCTGATGAGAAATAGGAGACTTTAAAGGTATAGAGAACTTTGAAAATTTCAAAGTTTTGTGAATTCTTTATTTAAGTGAAAATGTCACGATGAATAAAAATGACAGGACCAAAAAAAAAAAAAAAAAAACCTACTGCTAAATTTCCCATTCTAGTTAAAGATCAGTAATGAGGGTTTCTGATGTGTGGCAAGCCGGACTGCTCTGAGGTCCTTGTGAAGAAAGTCTGTGATTGTCCCCCCATGCCATTATCTGTGAGTCTTTCAAGCACCACTAATATTCACTAAACCCTTGCAAGAGGGCCATACACACAGTGTTACCAGAGGGTTTATCACAAAATTCAAATCTAAATAATTAACTCTGAAAATACCTTTCTCATCCCTAAACTTAAAAAATTATAGTGAATATAGTTTTTAAATACATTCCAAAGAGATAGGACCTATAAAGAATCTATGTGATAGCTGGTGTCATTGTAGATTAAGAAACATATGGTTTAAAATAATAAAAACAGCAATAATAGCAGCAGTAGTGAGCAGTAGGCATCATTGCTGCTGTGGTAACAGTATAATAGAGCTTTGCAAACAGAGATGTTATTTTAAGGAAAAGTTGCTGAATTACTAGAGAAATAATATTAAAACCAATGCTTTTAATATAAAAGTCCATGCATTATTTACATTCAGTTTACTAGGTAGATGCAAAATGAAGTCATACCTGATCTATTTTTTTCATCTTTAGAGCTGATGTCAGCACCCAAGGATAAGAGCGTCTGGATTGTGCTTATATGTCCTTCCTGAGAGTTCAAATAAACTTGTTATCACTGTGATGATGAGGATAAAAGCAGCCTTTAAACACAAACTCAAATGTATATTAGGTACTTTTTGTAAAATACTCAACTGCTAAAACTGAATTTTCACATCTAAAGGAGGACAGTATTTACATCACTTTTAAGTAAAGATGTTGGTGACATTTAGTTACTAGAATACAGATGATCAACTTTTTAGGCCAAACTATCAACCAATACAATTGGGTGTAAGTACAAGGAGTATAGTTTTGTGACTTATACAGAACACATAGTTCTCAAATCTCTAAAGCAAACATACTCAGCAAAAATCTTTAGGGCGAAATAAACTAGGAAGACTATAACCTCTCTTGGATGGGGTTCTTATCACAGCTAGCACTACTATTTATGAAGTAATTTATATTCTTCTTGTCTAGCCCATTAGCCTATAAGTATGTGGTGAGACAAAATGAAGATTGTAGGTTCCCTCTTCATATGGAGGGACCCACCAGCTTTTTTATCCCTGTGGTTACTGACAATCTTTTTTTTTTTTTTTTTTTTTAAAGATTTATTTATTTATTTATACAAGCACTGGGCACAGTCAGAAGCCCAGGAAGGTGAGAGAATTCACCAGAGCAAGGAACAGAACAGGCAGACTGACGAAACACACTGCTGAGGGGAGCAGCGGGCAGCAGGAGAGGTCTGCACACCTTGCGGGACCCTCGCCCCGTGGCTGGGGATCGAACCGGCGCTGCAGAGGCTGCAGGCAGCTTCGCAAGCAAGCGCTCAACCGCTATGCCACCGGGGAAGCCCACTGATGATCTTCTTAACCTACCCTCATCTATATGCCTGCTTTCTCATAGGGAGAATGTAGGCAGGAGAGCGGAGCTCAGGAAAAACTTTATTCCTGCAACTAGAAAAACAAGTAAAGGCAGATAGCATGTAAGACAGGACATGACCAGATATTATCCTTGTGAAAAGTTGTTTGTGTGTCTTAAATATTTTATACACTGAAGAGCCCAGTAAATGCATTCTTGCTACAGTTAAGGAAAACTTTCTGAAGTTCAGTATAAATATTGAAAGCTAGGAATTTCATGCAATTTTGCAAACAACACTATTCCTGGAAACAAAAAATGGTGCGAAGGAACACAAAGTTCAGGCATTAATAGGGAGTAGAGGTATTTTTTATAGTTTTTACAAAGGAAAAAGAAAAGTCAGGTTTCTATTTAAATGGACACAGGGCTACAGAATCATGAAAATTTCAAGAGTATATCATGGGCAGCTTCTTCTATAGATGGAGCTAAAGAAAACAGCCCTAAGGAGGAAATAAGCAGCAACAGAATAAGGCAAGCCCAGGGAAGCAGGGACACGGCTACAAAAAGAAACAGACCTTAGCTGCATAATGAAGCGCTGTGAAGTGGGTGGCTCTTGCTCTCACATCTATGTCAGTGCCAAGTTCAGAGACCAAGAATCGGATGGCTTCATCCTGCCCAGTGACTGCTGCCCTGTGTATAGCCTGGGCCCCCAGGGAATCTTCAGCAGAAACACAAACCTAACAGATTGGAGAAAGAACAAAATAAGCAGAAGAACCCTGGTCGATGGCTCTTTTTTGACATTCTGGCAAAATTCTGTTGTCTATGAACAGTTTTTTGGGCAGATGATACTGTTTTTGTCAGATCCTTCAAGGATTTTGGCAAAACAAAAAAAAAGGTTCATAGTCAACCATTTAGGCTAAAGTGTCAGAAGCATAGTCAGTAGGGAATTTGTTGTTATTATTAAACTATAAAGTAGCTTGGTAAATGTTAACTTTGCTAACTGCTTTATACATATGATTTAATTATTACAGTAACCTTTTGGTGAAATTTGTCACCATTTTATTTCGTTTATTTTTATTTATTTTCCCATGACCATGCCTTATGTCCCCTTTGATCCTTTCTTTTTTTTTTTCAAGATTTATTTTTATTTATTTCTACAAGCACTGGGTACAGCCAGAAGCACGGGAGGGTGAGAGAATTCACCAGAGCCAGAGCGGGGAGCAGAGCAGGCAGAAGGACCAAGGTACACTGCTGAGGGGAGCAGCAGGCGGCAGGAGAGGTCTGCACGCCATGTGGGACCCTCCTCTGGTGGCCAGGGAGCAGCTGGTGATCGAACCAGTGCTGCAGAGGCTGCGGGCAGCTTTGCAACCCAGTGCTTAACCGCTGCGCCACCGGGGAGGCCCCCCTTTGATCCTTTCTCCCTCCCCCTTCCCTTTCACCTTAAAACCTCACTTTGTTTATTAATGGCCACTAGTTTTATAAGTATTTTACCTTGGCAAATCACCCACTCTGTATTAATAATGTCCAATATTTGTCATTCCGACTTGCTCAAACTGCTACTTTGCTGTAAATGAAAATATTTTGTCTGTCTTTATTATTTTTTAAAGATTATTTATACAAGAACTGGGGTACAGTCAGAGGCATGGGAGGGTGAGAGAATTCACCAGAGACAGAGCAGGGAGCAAAACAGGCAGACGGACTGAAGACACCGCTGAGGGGAGGAGCGGGCGAGAAAGGAGAGGTCTGCTGCACCATGTGGATTTCTCCCTGGCCGGCCGGGAATCAAACCTGCACTGCAGAGGCTGCAGACAGCTTCATAGCGGCGCTCAACCTGCTGCGCCACCAGGGAGGCCCTTGTCTGTCTTTACTGCTGAACAGCATTCCATAGTGTAGAATACCACACCTTAATCTAAACTTCGATTGATGTGCATTTAGGCTGCTTCTATACTCTAACTATTGTAAACAGTGCTGCAACATTGTAGAACAGTTTTTTGAGTCCATAGTTTTACATTCTTTGGATAGATGCCCAGGAGTGGGATTGCTGGGTCATGGGTTATTTCCAGTTGTAATTTTTTTTTTCCATTTGTAATTTGTTAAGGTAATTCCAGATCACTTTCCAAAATAGTTGCATCAGTTGACATTTCCACCAACAGTGTAATAGTGTCTTGTTACTGATCTTAAAAGAGGGAGCTCTCAGTTTCTCACCATTAAGTATTCTGTTGGCTGTAGTTATAAAATATGACCTGCATTATATTAAGGTCCTTCTATTTTTCTCTTGTTCAGAGTTTTTATCATAAATGTTACTGAATATTTCTCTGCATCTATTGGCAGTATTATGATTTTTATCTTTTGCTGATTTTTAGCTTTCCTTTTGTAAAATGCATTATAGTGATTCAGTTTGTCTCCATTTTACAGATGGAAATACTGAGGTCAAAGGGTCCACAGGGGGGATGTGGCAGAGCTGGGTTTAAGCCCAGGATTTGAATAACTATTTTTCCTACTTTTTCTATGACTAAATTTTACAGGAAGACCCAAAGGAGTAGAACCAAACCATTTCTATACCTTTTGTGTTTCGAGGAGCAGCCTGGCTATCGTGATGTGACCACACTGAATTGCATCCATAAATGGTGTGAGACCACACTTGTCTCTGCAGTCTGGTTTGTAATGGCACCTAGATCCCAAACCCAAAATAACAGAACTTAGAAAGTCATTGCTTCAAACTCAATCAAGTGACTCGACCACCTACAGTAAATGACATGCCTTCCAAAATCCTATGAAAATCTGGAGTACTCTTACTTTCTCCCTCTCCACACCCCCACAGACTTCAAGAAGACCTCCAATGGTCAGGATGTTGCACCTGCTTGCCTCTTGCCAGCTTCTTCCTCCCTGTGTTTACTGCAGCCTACCATTTTCCTGGCCTTATCTTCTACCTGGGCTGAATTCTACAAGTCCTTCTGTTCTAACTTCTTTATTGTTCCACCTTTTGTCCCTGTCTTCCTTGTCCTACATCTTCATGTTTCTATCGTCATCATTTTTTCTTGTTTTAATCTTCTTGGCCCTACCTTCCAGGAATACTACCTTTTTCTGTTTCCACCTTGTTTTTGATCCTACATTTCCCCTGTCCTACCTTCTTCTGGTACTTCCTTTTTCCTCTCCCACTTCTAATCCTACCTCCTTCTGGTCCAGCACCCTACTTATCCTATACTCTTCCATTCTATCCTCTTCTGATCCTATATTCTTTCAGTTCTTCTACTGGTCTTAACATCTTGTGGGTCCTACCTTCTAAAAGCCCTACCTTATACACTCTACATTTTCCTACTCCAATCTTGTTTTTGGTTTTATTTTCTTTTTGGTCCTACCTCTTCCCATTTATACCTTTATCATCTTCTACATTCTTCTGTTCCTACTTTCTATGGGTTCTACCATCTTCCTAGTACTACTTTCTTCTCAGACCTATTCTCTAGAATCCTTCCACCCTGTACCTACCTTCTACCTGACCTACATTCTTCTGGTCCTACCTACTTTAGGTCCAATCCTCTACCTGTCTGACTTTCTTCCTCTCCTGTCTTTTACCATTCCTACCATATGCCAGTCCTGCTTAATACCTACCCTACCATCTTGGCCCTGCCTTCTACCAGTCCTATTGTCTTCTTGGTTCTACCTTACTCATTCTCCTATATTTATCAGCTCCTACTTTCTTTATGAGTTCTATTTTATGGTCCTATCTTCCTCAGCTCCCAACTCTTTCCTGGCCTACCTTCTTTTCCTCCAGTTGCCCAGCCCTTTGCTACCTTTGCACTTGCTGATCCCCTCTGCTTAGAACATTATTTCTTCATTCTTTACTTGGCAAACTCTAACTCATCCTTCAAATAAAATCTTCAATGTCATCTCAAGAGGTCTATCTTCTGTGCCTAATCTATAGTAACATCTTATTTTGTACTTTTCCTTGGTAGTATTAGTTTAATTTATAATTTTATATCTATTTGTACATTTGTCTATACTTGGCTTCCATACTAGACTATAGGTAGTTAAAGAAAAGTTTGTTTTGCTTATCACCTAGCACCTGATACATAGGAAATCCTCAAAAAATGTTTGTTGGGTGAATAATGAAAGTATATTTATAAATTTGAAGACAATCAAGAATGTTCTGATTTGTAGGAGGCAAGTCCTACTACATATAGACAATGCTTTCAGGCACTGCATTAAGCCTTCTTCTCTTCTTACTATACATTGTTTCCTCAGGTAATATCTTTTACTCTTATGGAATCAATCATCCTTTCCATGTTGATGAGGTACACATTTCTATCTTAATCCATACTTCTTTGAAATTTAGATCTGTGTCTTCACCTGCTTGACATCTTTGCTTGCATGTACCATTGGCATATGCAATCGACATGTCTAAAAGTGAAATTATTGTATTCTACACCCCCCCCCCAGCTTGTTCCTCCTTGAGTGTTCTCCATCTTAGTAAAAAAAACCAGCACCACTGCCAGCTACTTAAAAAACCCAAAAGTCAACCCAACCCCGCCTTCACCATCTCCCACAGATTTGTTGAGTCTACTCCTTAAGTAGCTCCAAATCTTTCTCTTCATCCCTACAATCAGCTTTAGTCCACCTACTATTACCTTTCCCAATTGGTTTTGCAGCACCTGCTGTTGCTACTCCTCCAAATTATTTTCTATTTTCCAACCACTTAAACAGTTTAAGAATATTCAGTGGCATCTTATATGCATAGAAAAAAACCTCTAAAATCATTCACATGGCTGGAGTTGTAAAATATGCCCAGCATTATAAACCTGCCCTTCCTGCCCAGTTTCATCTCACACCATTCTCCCTATACATACTGAATTTTTTCAGATTCTCCAATGTATTGTGCTTTTTCCACCTTCAGGTCACAGTTTAAATATCACTGGGGTTGAGTCCTTACTCCTAGGCCAAATGAGGTGCTTCTGTCAGACATTCCCACAGGGACTCTCCAATTCCTTGTAATGCTATTCTCACATTGTACAGTGTCTTTTCTGTTAGCATCCTGAGGGGGAAAACAACATTTGAGGTCTCTTTTCTGTTGTAGCCCTTGCACCTGGTATAGTCGCTAGTTTATATTCAGCACGGAATGAATATTTGTTGAATGAACATGTAAATGTATTTTTTTTCACATTGCTTAGCTATTTTTGTTTTGTAAGTCTTTGGGTTATCTGCTTATAGCCTTCGCTTATTTCTCTTTTGGTAGTCTAGTTTCTTTATGAACAATCTGAGCATTGTATGTAGCATCAATATTAACTTTATTATAATTAGCAAATATTTTCCTCAGTTTGCTGTTTTTTCTTACCTCTGAAGAAGCACCTTTACTGCCTCTAAACAGCCATGCATTGCTGGGAGAAGAGAGTTGAGAATGAGAGCTTTTTAGTGTCTATTTTGAATGTTTCTTTCCTCTCCCTGCCCCATCCTTTTAGCTTTGACTTGCAGGAAGAAGTAATTAAATTACATATCCCGCTATTATTCTGGAAATATAATAAAAATTTAGCTGGATAAATGGTAAAGAATGTTTTCATTTTTCAGGCACATAGCCAACATCTGATTATCTTGTCTTTATGAATATTGTCATTGCAAAATTTTTTTTTAAAGACTTATTTATTTTTATATAAGAGCTGGGGTACAGGCCAGAGGCGCCGGAGGGTGAGAAGATCCACCAGAGACAGAGCGGGGAGCAGAACAGGCAGACGACCAAAATACACTGCTGAGGGGAGCAGCAGGTGAGATAGGAGAGGTCTGCCGCACCTTGTGGGATCCTCACCGGCCAGAATTGAACCCACACCGCAGAGGCTGCGGATAGCTTCACAGCACGGTGCCCAATGCGCTGCGCCACTGGGGAGGCCCTCATTGCAAATTTTTAATCCTTACTTTCGGGCTGCAAATCCATAGTGTCAGATTTTGCCCAGAAAATGCAAAAACATTTTAATAGCATCCCATGACAAAATAATCAGGAATTTAATTCTCCTACTAAAAACAAACATAGATAATAATAAAAAAATTTCTTTCGACTCTCTGTTCTCCCTTAGTTTGTATGAATGACTGGGTGCTGATTGCTTCTCCAAAAGAGTAGGGGAGCTAGTCAAACATTTCATAAGCAGAGGAAAGTTCTACTTATAAAGATTTAAAAAGGATTCTTTGGTACCTAACTGCTCACTATAGCTAATAGTATTATCTTTTGCAGGTTTCCTGAACTGTACCATATCACTGGTATTAATTTTCAGAGAAAATAAAAATTCTGTATTATAATTCACTGCACTTACCTAGAAAGTTAAAGATTATTTTCTATATTTATTTTCTATAATTATTTTCTATATTTCTTGATCCAGAGCTCCTTAAGATCTATTTTTATCTAACACCATAGCAATTTTGCTTTTTACTAATATAAAATAATCTACAAATGGATAATTCAAAGAATATACTCCTACTGATGAGCACTATCTCCCAAATTTATATTTGACATTATCACTAGGTAAGATAAATTACAATCAAGCCCAGATATTTAATTATCAGCACTTATAAGGATGTATCACTTCTCCCTCCTGCCTTTAATCATCACTATCACCATCATCATAACAACAGTAACAATAAAGTAAACATAACCAAGAATGTGGCCAGTTGTTCTGTGCCACTGTGCCAAGCACCGTGTTAAGCAATTCACATATGTCTGCTCCTTACACCCTGTGTCACCCCCGTAATACGAATATCCTTATCATTATTTGGTGATAAGGGAAATTGCTCAGAGACAGTTCCTTGTCCCAGGTCAATGACTTGTTAGAAGACAGAGAGGGGATAAACATGAAAAGTGAACTAATACGAGAAACAAGAGTACTTCAAGTACCAAATTACATTAGTTGTAGAAACTAAATGTATGCCAAAGTACATCAAAGCTACTTGTTCCCTGCCCCTATTTTCCAAAACCCTCCATTTTGCCATGGATGACTCAGTCTAGGTGCTGTTTTGCATTAGCAGATGAAGCAGGCTGTACATCCTGCTTGTGTCCCTACAAAGCTGAAGGTCATACCTGCAGTATGAAGAGGTGTTCTTCCAATTCTGCTCTCTGTCTTCCAGGCAGCTGGGCAAGTTGTGAGCAAGTATTGAAGGACCAGAGGATCACCTTCTCGGCTGGCAATGTGGAAACTGTTCCAACCATCCTTGTTTCTCAGGAGTGGATTGGCACCATGGTCTACAAGGTCCTGGATCACCTCGAGATTCTTCTTGGCACAAGCCATCATCAGAGGCGTCCTAAGGCCAATCAAGACAAGCTGTCAGGTGGAAGAGTAGCTGAAACACTAGAAGTGTGCAGCTAGGTTTTTAGAAAAATGCAAATCTTTGGCAGAGATGGAAAACCTAGAGGTATTGGGAATCTGGAAAGCAGGAAAAGAGCTTTCACTGGCAACTTCTCTGCCTGCTGTGAGGACCCTGAGAGAAATAACAAGGGGGAAAATAATTGTAATGTAGAGCATGCCTGCAAAGGAGAATACTGAGGCCAAGCTACTTCTGAAATAGTTTATATTTAGCAGGGTAGTGAACTGGGACAGAGTTGATCAAAATCATAGAGACTCATGAATTTCTGCATAATCTCCAATCAGAAAATGGGTCTGAAAAGAGCACTTGACATAGCATAGCACCTGTTCATAAAGAGCCCCTGCTCATTGGTGAAGCAAATGAAATAGTGTGATCATAATAAATATTTGAACTTAGTTGTCTCCACAATTATCAGAGCATAAACTATATTCATACCAAGCTCTGATCTTCTCCAGGATCAGTGTAAGTCATTTCACTTCTACAAACTTCCAGTTTCTTGTTTGCAAAATGTGTGATTATAATAAATTTCTGAACTTAGTTGTCTCCACAATTATCAGAGCATAAACTATATTCATACCAAGCTCTGATCTTCTCCAGGATCAGTGTAAGTCATTTCACTTCTACAAACTTCCAGTTTCTTGTTTGCAAAATGAGGGAGCTGACATCCTGGAAAGCTGAAGCAAGTCTTGTTTGCCTTAGAATTTGGTGTGTGGCAATTGGCAGGAGTCTATTATATCTACATAGTCTCTAGGTTCTGTCTTCTAGATTGCCATGACATTAATCACCAACACTATAATTACATACATATATACACACATATATTTAATGTAGTAATGAATAGCAAATAAGAAACAGATAAATGAGAGTTGGAATCTTTTGGAAGGGTTTCACATGAGGGAATGAATCGAGCAGGGAAGATATTTCAGAAAGGCAGAGAAGTGGAAATGGACAAAAATAGCTATTGTGTCTATACCTCCCAAAACATTATCAAATGAACCTATCCTTTTAATGTTTCCCCAGCTCCCAAGCTATTTCCTTATCCACAAAACTGTTTTCAGGAGTATATGAAGTAATGTACCTTTTGAACTGTCTTAAAATCAATTTACCGCAGCACCAGTAAGTCAGTGCAGTGCTTAATCACAGCCAAAGTGCAACCCTCAAAATATAACCAGGCCTTCTCCCCAACTCCACGGGGAAAGATGCAGTTTATTTAACTCTTTATGGTTGTGTGCTGTGTTTACATCAGATCAGGAATCACTCACCGGTTGGAACCTGGTTATGTCATAAACCATAAAGAGTTCATACTACATATAGTAGACAATTTATTATTTGATTATGTTCCGTTTGGTTATATTTTATACTAGTCTCTGCTTTACAAAGGAAAGCAACTGCGTGGACCCAACTGTTACCTCCGCGGGGGTAAGAACAACGCAGACCATCTACTCTATCAGAAGACTGGTGCAGGAGCCTAATCAAATAGCCTAATCTTGAGAATCCGTTGAGAAAGGCTATGGTGTGGGAGCGGACGAAGTCCATGGTCATCTACCACTTTGCAGGGAAAGGGAGAGAGCTGCGGTTCTTTCTGAACTCCCCCCACCTACCAGTCGGCCTTCTTCAGGCAGTCGACCGTGGCTCCGCGGCCCAGCAAGTACCGCACGCAGTCCCGGTGGCCCATGGAGGCTGCCTCATGCAGAGGCCGCTTGTAGTCTCGATTGCTGGCCTCGATGTCCATGTCCCAGGCCTCAACCAGGTAGGCCAGGACGTCGCGCTGCCCGTGGCGGGCGGCCAGGTGCAGGAGGGTGTCCCCGGCCGGCCCACTCCCCGCCGGGCCTCGCGAGCTCTGCAGCTCCTCCCGCAGGGCGCACAGCCGGCCCTCCTGAACCAGCCTGCAGAGCCGCCGCGGGTCCCTGGGCGCGGTCATGCGCTCCTAGTCTTGTCCTCCTCGCCGTGGGGGGGGGGGTCTGAAGCTCGGGGACCTCGGTTTCCCGTGGGGGACCCTTCCCCGACTGCCCTGCCCGGCGCGCGCAGAGGTCGCCCTTGCTAACTGGGTAGGGCTGGACCCCAAGCGGACGCGACGCCTTGTGGGCAGCTGGGAACGTGCACCCCCGGGGCTCTGGCGTCCTGCCGCCTACACTGGCTTCATTTGGGGACCAGTGGGCAGTGGGGGTGCTGCCGCGGAACCCGCACCCCTTCTGGGAGCGCCCGGGGGGGAGGAGGCAGGCTCCCGAGCAGCCCGCCCCGCGGCTGGCCGCGCGCCCTCGGAGGCGGGTGGGGCCCGCGCGCCCCTCACCCACAGCCCCCCTCTCCCCGCCGCTGGCACCCCCGCCCCGCCGCGGGCCCCGGGAGCTCGGAGGAACTCTGGGAAAGTTTCCACTCGCCTTCCCGACCCCAGCGGAAACACGGGCGGGGCGGGGCTGGCCCGGCGGCCGCGCCCCCTCCGGGCGCGCGCTCCCATTGGCCGCCCGAACAGTCCGTCCTCGCGCCCCCGCCGCACACGTGCTCCGATTGGCCGCGGGGGCAGTCTGTCCAGTCCGGCGGCGGGCTCTTCCCTGGGCTGTGGCAGGGGCGGAGCCGGCGGAGGAAGTCCGGGGCCTGTTCTGGCTGTCGCTGCCCTGGGGACGCCGGGACGGGGAGGCCGGGCGCCCGGGGCCGGCGGCGGCTGGAGCGCTGGTCTGGAGCGCCATAGTGCGTGAGGCCGCGGACGTGGCAGGGAGCGCGGGCGGGGCCCTGCCTGTGGACACTTAGCCTTTTGGGGTTCCGAGTGGGGAGCCGGCCTCGGGGTCAGCGAGCGGGTCTGCGGGGGAGGTGGGGGGTCCGGCTCCCGGCTGAGCGCCAGTGTGGAGGGGGCGGCCTGCCTGCGGGGGCTCGGCGGGGCGTGCCCGGGGGAGGCCGAGGGGCACCCCCACGCTGCATCCTGCGCCCGGAGGAGAGGGGCGCTCGTGGTTTCTCGGTGATTGTAGGAGTCACGGGGGATGTGGTCTCGGCTGCCCGCAAGGCAGGATTTCCTTTTCTGCTCTAAATTTTGACCTTGGGCGAGTCATTTTATTGTGTCCCCTTTACGTCTTTTCCACTTGGCACCCTTCCTCCCCTATACCTGAATATTAAGAAAATTACTGGGATAGGGGGAGGCCTTGAGCTCGTGGAGGGTATTGAGAGCTGAGCAAACTGTATGGAGTGGTGGGAAAGATACTGGTAAGGTGTTGAATTCTTTACCTGATTGTATTAGGTGCTAGTCATTTAAACCTTGTGGTGTTTTCAGTTCCTTTAGAGAGAAAATGTGTGTTGCTACTACTTGCCAGGCCTATAAGCAATTATGCTTAGATTCCGTATTGTACTCTGGTTTACAGAACACTACATTAATGGTCTAATCTGCAAATAACCTTGTGAGGCATTCAAGGAATGGAAATTGAGGCCTAAAGAAGTTAGTGATTTTCCTACTGGAAGAAAGGACCATGCTACTTAGTGAATGTCTGCTAGTGCCCGCATTGTGGGCACATAAATTAAGGGAGACAAAATGAAAATAGTCTTCTGGTACGTGCCCATGAAAACAAGCCTATTTTACTGATGAGCAGATTGAATTTGTTTAACTTCCTGAAATATATAGTCATTGGGGACAGAACTAGATCCAATATAGGCTTTGCCAAAATGTTCTGTTTCAAAACCAGGAAGGTGTATATGTGCTTTAAACTGAATAAAGTTTTAGAACATGACAAGCATTATTCTGACTGCTGCTGGTGGAGTGAGTGCAAATGGAGGTTGAGACACCTGGTAGGTTCACACTTTTTGCAGCTAATGCTCCCGGCACCCTAATTACATATAACCCCACCTTTTCTTGACATATGTATCCAGTTTCCCTGATTTTTTTTTTTTAAGATTTATTTATGCAAGAACCAGGGTACAGGCCAGATACGCGGGAGGGTGAGAGGATTCATCAGAGACAGAGGGGGAAACAGAACAGGCAAACTTAACGAAATACACTGAGGGGAGCAGCGGGCAAGACAGGTCTGCTTCGCCATGTGGGATTCTCCCCAGCCGGCTGGGATCTAACCCGGGCTGCAGAGGCTGCGGATAGCTTCACAGCTCGGCACTCAACCGCCTGAACTACAAGTGAGGCCCCAGTTTCCCTGATTTTTAAGACAAAAGTGGGACACATGGATGCACAATAACAGAATATTTGAAATCCAGATGATTGTTTACTTCAGTGGTCCAAATGCAGTGCTACCTCTCCCGCCTTCTTTTTATTTTGGTCTGTGTCTCCCCTTTTCATCTATGTGAATCTCTCTACAGCTCCTATGAGTTTCTAGAGCAAAAGTCTGTCTAGAGGGGAGGGATATACACATTAAACTACGGGATGAAGCTGTTTCTGGGTCTTCCTGATTTTCCAGTTGGGCTGCCCATTTCTTTTGTGCAAACTTTGGAGTTGTGGTCTGGCCTTTATGATCTCTTTTCTCATGTAGTCACCATTGGCATTGTGATTTGTTACTTGACTGTTTCCTTTCTCTTGGATTGTATTTCCTGTCATGTGGCATTTAGCGATGGGCACTGAGGTCATGACCATTTGAGTGTGTGTGAATACCAAACATTGGTGTTAGACTTAGTTCTCTCATTTCAGGTGTGATCTCTTCAGCGTTTCTGTTTCTCATATCCCTCCATCTTTCCTAGGCTGATTTTATTTGAAGACTGAATTTGGATTCTGACTTTGCTCTTCTGGCTGTGAAATTTATCACCAAAGCATCTTAGATCTAATGTCTTCAGCTGTCACTTACATGTCTTCTGAGGACCATATTTCAAAGTTCTCCTGAAGCTTCACCTGACATTCCATAAATAACTTTAAAACAAACAAAACAACTATTTTCAAAACTGAAAATTCTCATCTTGCCTTCACTCCAGGAAAATGTGATTAGAACAAAAAATACTGTTTTTCCTTTACAAGGTAATGACATTATTAATTTCTAGCTAGAAATATCAGTTGTTTTTGCTGTTCTTTCTCTTCTAGTCTTTTCAAAAAGGACATTGGTCCTCACTTCCTCTTCTCCCTATTTTTGCTGCAGCAGCTCTCAGGTCTTTACCAATTCTTGTTTCAGTTAATAAAGTGCTTACTCTCTGTTTTGACAATTTCTGTGTCAACTGGTCCTCTACCCAAACTCTGGAGTTTCTGTTATAAAGTGTGCACACTGCTGATAAGGTAGATGATTCCTTGAATTCCCTGCATGATAAAATTCAGTTGACTTATCATAATAACCAAAGACCTTGCAGTCTGTGCCTCCTAATTTCTTTTCCTCAGGAACCTTGCTCTAATGAAACCCAACTTCCTTGTCACACCACTACTGTGTTCTTTCTCTGCATTTTGTACATACCTCTTTTGCCTTACTTGATCCTATTCATCTTTCAAGGCTGAACTCTTGATAAAGCCTTTTGCAGGCTTCCCTAGCTGTTCTCTGTTCTCAGCCATAGCACGTCAGGAACACATTTGTGTAGCTCTCATATTGCCTCTTATGTATGCTAATTTGTGTTTGTTGTGGTAGCTGCCTTATGGGCTGGCTAAGTCTTAGTCATTTTTGTATCCTTGCAGACTAAGATGGCATTTGACTCCAGAGATATTAACAGAGGAAGCTGTCAGTTTTAAAGAATTTGAGACATAGTAGGCACTTAAAAGTGGTTGTGGAATGGGTTAACATTAGAAAAAGTCTTTCAAACATAAAAATACATTCTGGTCTGCAAATAATGATCATTTTCTTTTCTTTCTTTTCACCATTCCCTTTTCCCTGTGAGAAACATGCTTAGAAAAAAGCGTTCTCCCACTTGTTTATTACAGTAAATGAGCGCTGTCTCCAGGGGAGGAATAGGTGTTTGCAAGGAGGTATGAGGCTCCCAGGAACATTGAGCCTGTAGCCTGGATCTTTTGGATTTTTAGAGAAACAGGATGTGGTGCTGGGAGGGACTTGGCTTTGTGAGCAGAGTGAGCTCTCTGGGAAGGAACTAGCACTGTGTTTCTTTCTTTCTGTTTGTTTCTTTTAGAGCTAGTGGGACAAAATATTTTTAAATTTTACTTTTTGATTGTACAGTATATTTCTTCTAGTTACATTTTCTAAGTTACTTGCCTGTTATTAAGTCTGATGATGATATTGCATCTTGATTTTTAAAAAGTGACACAAATGAAACCTGAAGTTTTTAGAAACGGTTTTAAATCTTTCTGGATATGGAAGGGAGAATGTAGAAAGAATGCTGGACTTGGGGACTCAGAAAACCTAAGTTTTGTTACCACAAGTTCTCTTGTGACTTTAAGCAAGTCTTCTTTGAGCCCCAGGTAAGCTGTGGAACAGAGGATAGTGAGATCAAATGAGAACATGGGAAAGAACTTAAAATAATATGACGCACTTAGGAACTTGCAGCTAATTTAGCATTTCAGAGCCAAAGAAGACAACTTCAACTTCTGTAGAGGGAAGCACTGTAGCCATGCATTTGTTCATTTATTCGGCAGTTATTTGTGGAGCATTGGGTGCTGGGGCTGAATGCCTCACTTTTTCTTCCCCACACTAGACCATAAAGCCTTCAGTTCAGGTGTAGAAGACATGTTCATATTTTTAAAGCACACTTTTTTTTTTAAAGATTGATTTATTTATACAAGCACTGGGTACAGTCAGAAGCGCGGGAGGGTGAGAGAATTCACCAGAGCCAGAGCGGGGAGCAGAACAGGCAGACTGATGAAATACAATGCTGAGGGGAGCAGCAGGCACAGCAGGAGAGGTCTGTCGCGCCGTGTGGGACCCACGCTGGCGGCCGGGGATCGAACTGGCGCTGTAGAGGCTGCGGGCAGCTTTGCAGCCCAGCACTCAACGGCTGCGCCACTGGGGAGGCCCCTTAACGCACAATTTTTAATAATATATAATGTAATAATTTGTACACAGGACATACTAAATAGTACTACAAATCATTGCTACAACTATCTCAGACATACTGTTGATTTTATTACTGCAAAGTGCTTCTGGACTTGAATGAATACTTTCTCCAATACTGGAGTTGGGGAATAACATTGTTAACTATGTTTAAATTGGAAGTCTCATTGATTCACTTTACCTTGTAGTTTGACCTGTGAAATACCTGAGTCCTTGTAATAAGGATTGCACTGCAGTATACCTCTCCTTTCTCTGTAGAAATAGAAGAGGGAAAGTGTCTACTTCTTAATCTTCACAGAGCCCCTCAGAGAAAAGTGGGAGACTTGTAGAGAACGAAGAAGATGA